AAGGGGGTCAAATTTCATTGGGGTAAGGAGAAAGACGCTGCTTTTCACTCGCTCCGGGACGCCCTAGTCGGGGCTCCGCCATTGAGTTACCTCGATTTTACAAAACTCTTCTTGCTCGATACAGACGCAAGCAACACGGGCATCGGGGGCGTTCTCTCCCAGGTTATTGGGGGCGTGGAACATGTGGTTGCGTACGGCAGTCGGGTGTTGTCTCCGGCGGAACAAAGATACTGCGTTACCCGTAGGGAACTATTGGCAATCGTGTACTTCATTCAACAATACCGCCCATATCTGTACGGTCGGCGTTTCACCGTCCGCACAGATCATGCGGTGCTGCAGTATGCTTTGCGGGTTCAACAGCCATCGGGACAATTGTCTCGATGGTTGGAAATCCTTCAGGATTTCGATTTTGCGACTACCTATCGTAAGGGCACTTGCCACACCAACGCGGACGCTCTGTCCCGGTTACCACCCACCTCTGAGTGCGCTTGGCTTCTGGGTTCGGGGCGTTGCAGACCTCTGAATGTCAGCTCTAATTCGGTTTTAGCAGCTGCCGCCGATGCGCCTTCCGTTGCCGGTCCTATCGAGCAAGAAGGGAGGGATTCCTTGCTGGGGTTGTCGGTTGCGGAGTGGGGGCGCCTCCAAATGGAGGACACCTCCCTCCTCGCTTTGCGCCATCGCATCAGAGGAATTGTGCGGGGGGGTGAAAATGTCGACTCCTGGGGGTTGGTCCAGGGCCTTCTCATGCACTGGGATGGCAAATCCCGTCGACACCGGCTGGTGGTGCCTTCTGCGTTGCGGGGGAGGGTCGTGTGGGCTGCGCACGAGCGACTCCTCCACTTAGGGACCCACAAAACCCTTGCCACACTCCAACTAGATTTTTCATAGCCGGGCATGGCAAGGGATGTGGAGGACCTGTTGGGGTCATGCACCCAGTGCGTGCAAAGGAAGCCACCAGCCAAGGGGTCTAACCCACCCTTACAGTCCGTAAAAGTTTCGAGTTAACGAGCTCGTCGCACTAGATATTCTGGGCCCATTCCCCGCTACGCCTAGGGGGAATAGATACCTGTTAACCGGGGTAGAATATTTTACGAGATGGCATATGGCCTGGGCCCCCGCCAATCAGTAAGCAGCAGCCATCGTGGAGGCCTTTGTCCAGGGCTATGTCCTCAACAAAGGTGCTCCGGAGCGGCTGCTGACCGATCAGGGTAAACATTTTTCGGGGAAGCTTCTCCACGAGGTGTGCGAGCTCCTGGGAACGAAAAAGATTCGTACCTCCCCATATCATCCGCAAACAGACGGAATGGTGGAGCGGCTGCATCGGACCATCACGTCCATGCTGTCCCAGCAGGTGTCTGAATCCCAGACCGATTGGGACCTTCATATCCCGGGGGTTTTGGCAGCATACAGGATGGCTCCCCATGCGGCGACCGGGTTTTCGCCCTTTTTCCTAATGTATGGCCGTGAGCCTAACCCACCTGTTCCGACTCAGCTGCGGATCTCCACGCCGCATAGTAAATCCAAATTGGCCGAACATGTGAAATTCAACGTCGCTAAATTGACAGAGGTGCGGGAGGCGGCCATGCAGAACTCTGAACTCCGCCAGAAGGCAAATGAGAGGCTCAGGCTGGCTCGGGTGCACGTGCTTCAGTGGAAGCCGGGTGACCAGGCGTGGTTGCACTGTCCCCAAGTCCCGCTAGCAACCTCGTCTAAACTGGTGCGGCCGTGGCGGGGGCCCGTGGAGGTGGTGCAGGTTTTGTGCCCATAATGTGTGCGTATCCGATGGAGGAAACGTCGGTGGTTTGTGCACCCCTCCAGGTTAAAACCGTTCGTTGCACCCCATGTTCCTACTTCACACACGCGTGGCCAATCATGTGAGGGGTCCACCGACTCCCGGAGTACGACTTCTCTGCTGTCATCTGACTTAACACCGTCTGTTCCACCTCCAGGCGCACCAGGAGTGACACGCTCATGACCGCCAACCCCTCCCGGGGGGGTCGGGGGTCGCTCTGCAGCGGAGCCGGACACCTTCACACCCGGACTGCTAACAACCGCCACTGGCCAAACCAGAGGGGTCCCTTGTGACGGCCCCGCTGCAAGGACGCGCGCCAGAACGCATAGACTTTTGTGAGGCCGGCCGCCAACGCGACCCTTGCGAGCGACCGCCCTCGGTTCTTGTATATATGTTGTTTTTACGGGATGGGGTATTTATTCGGTCGGGGTGCGTCGTGTTGGTTTGTTCTTATTGTTGTTGTTGTTGTTAAAGATTTGTGAGGCACACACGGGTTCAAAGGGGGGGATGCATCTTTATTGCTATTTTGTTGCAGCCGGGACGGCTGCGAGCTGTACAGGGGGGGGTGATGTAGAGCCGTTGTAGCCGTTGTAGACGGCCTGATTTAGACTTGCCGCGGGTGGCAAACAAACACAATGGGCGTGGCTACGTCGGTACGCGGAGCAGGTGCTCGCAGCGACGTCCTCGCCGTACGCTGGGATCCCCCACAGCCCCTCCCCTCGGGGGGAGATGGCTATTTAAGGCGGTGAGCCGAAGGGCTCTGGGTCGAGTGTGTTAAGCTGTAACCAGTGAAGAAAGAAGACCAGCTAGACCGGCCCTGGAACTCCCTGGGATCGCTGTCCTTTTAAGGACCGACCAGGCAAGCCAGCGGCGTGGCCCCCAGAGCCCGGAACCGACGCTCTTCTAAGAGCGGGGTCTGGGTATTCGGGGTGCCGTAACCTAGGTGTAAGCTAGCTGTGAGCTAGGCTGTTGTGTTCCGTAGTTAGACGGGTGAAAGGGCCGATACCCCTTCAGTTACTGTAAGCTTCCGAGTTACGTGCTGGTGTTAATAAATAAGCGTGTGCCTCCAACTACGTGTCAAGTCTCCCTGGAACCATACTACATATCTAAGATCACCTCTTGACATGCCCCGTATATTCCCGAGGGCACTAGCATTGACCCGTTTTACCACTTTCAAGAACCTGGCGGCTTCGATTTAACTGCTGTATAAAGTCTCCATTGTACAGCGTGGGGGCAGGGATTTCATGCCATGTGGTTAGTCATGAAACGGGCGGCTAGAGTCCTCTCATCCTCTGGCTTGAGATGGCTGCCACCTATGGGTCAGATGATTGTTTGCCACTATTAAGCAATTGGTAATTAAATATTTTTAAAAAAATTCCCTAAACAGTGTAAAATTTTGGAAAAAAATTTTCACGAAAATTAATTGTCACGCACAACGAGTCTGTGTGCAAAATGTCAGCTCGATTGGATCACGGGAAGTGGGTTAAAAAACGACCGAAAGATTTGCACGGTCGTAAGAAAGGAAGCAAGCACGCAAGCACGCAAGCAAGCAAGTGAACTTAATATAAAGGATTTAAAAAGAGAACAACAGGTACACATGCTAGAAGAGAACGACAAAGCACATGTTGTTTTACCCAGTGTTGGTTGACAATCCAAATACAAAAAAGGGGAGTACTGTTAAACGCTGGGGATGTCAACACCCGGTAAAGTAGAATAGTACCTGTCAAATAAGATGGTCCAAAAATGTGTAGTTAAATCTTTTTTGCATGGTTAATGACATCTTTCCAATGATTACTCAGTTTGTACCCATCATCACGGTTGAAATTATGTCTGTGTTTGTATATCTGGATGGCTTCGTGTACACACCTTTGATGGTAGCCAGAGGGTTTGCAGAGCACCTTGGTCTCGGAAAAAGACAATATCATGAGAGCCCACAGCGTTGTAACAATGATCGGCAACGGCGGAAGACTCAATTTTGCCGTGTTTCAGATCTGACTTGTGCTCGCGGACACGATCAGAGACATGACGTTTCGTTTCCCCAATGTAACAATCACCACAGCTGCAACTCAGTTTATAGACGCCAGAATATTGCAAGTCAGGAATGACATCCTTCACAGGTGGAATTAGATCACGGATTTTATGTACCGTACTGAATCGGGCTTGGATCTTATGTTTGTTTAGAATTTTGGAGATCTTTATGGTCACGCCTGCTATGTATGGCAACGTGATAGTTTTGATTGGAGTTTCAAGTGGCTGTTTCTGTATGGTGGGAGAAACAGCTTGGCGGATGGTGCGGTCAGAGTATCATTTCATCCTGAGGGCCCGATGTACAAATCTAGAATACAGCCCATAGACTCAACACTGCCCATAGACTCAACACTGCCCATAGACTCAACACTACCCATAGACTAACACTGCCCATAGACGCAACACTGCCCATATACTCAACGCTACCCATAGACGCAACACTGCCCATAGACTCAACACTACCCATAGACGCAATACTACCCATAGACGCAACACTGCCCATATACTCAACACTGCACCAACAACGTACGCACAGTGCGTACACGCTACTCGACCACGAAGCGCATTCTCGTTCGAGCAGGACAGCGCCAACGGTTTGGAGTAACATCAACAACAACAACAAAAACATTACCAACAACATCAACATCATTAACACCATCATCAGCAACATCATCAACACCATCATCAACAACATCATCAATACCATCAACAACATCACTAGCAACAAACATTAACGGCGTAAAAACATCAACAGAAACATCAACATCATCAACCCGCCAGACCCTCCTCGCTATGTTAACGAGCGTCGTTGCTGGAGAATGTTGAATAAAACGACGACGACTCATCCCATCAGCACCACGACCTTTCTGGGAGCGTGGCAATTTTCGCAGCACTGGTTCAACACAAGCTCAAACTGTTGGGCAGGTTTCCACATTCAGTGTCTCATCAGAAGCAGTCAGGCTTTGCTCGAACCAAAGCTGGTAAACCGCCAGATGTTACTACTGTAGAGGTGCTAGACACTCAAGGATCACACCCTCCACCTCTCCCTCCCGAAGACACGAGTCCCCCCGTGGTTTTACGCGGTGCTATTCAACACAAGACACAAACAACAACAACAACAACACAAAGCCACCAAGCGCTAGCGGCACGGAGGAATGCATCAATCAATGTGTGCACTCACCTCTCTCGATCTCTCTCTGTCTCTGTTGGGAGAGAGGAGTAGGAGTCGTAGTTGGTGATGGTGGAGCAGTGTGTGTGGGGGGGGTAATGCTCGTGGTGCGAGTGATGATGGAGGTGGGGGTGGCGATGTGCGGGGAGCGGTGGCGCAGCGGTTAGCGCTGTTGCTGCGCTACGAACCCCGGCGACGCGAGTTCGATGTCGCGCTCACGACCAAAGACAATGGCGAATGTTGGAACCGGGTACTGGGCCTCCCCTAGGTCGACTCAGCCTCAAGTGAGTACCTGGTGCGGTGTGGAGCAAACATCGCCACTCGGAAGACAAAGGCGACCGGGCGTGGTGCCGGCCACCCACCCACTTGTGTGCCGTGCCGGCCTTCACAGGTGCTACTCGCTAACAGCACTTGCCCCAACAGTCTGTTAAGGCTACACGGGGGATCTTTGTCTTGTGCGTGATAGTGGTGGTGGTGGTTGTGATTTTGAAGGGCGTGGGCTGGAGGTTTGCAGTTCGCGACCCTGACGCCTGCTCTCTAGAGTCTGCGTGTCTCTCTCCCCGTGGTCGCGTGGATTCTTAAAACGATAAAACAACAATTTTTTTATTTCATCTGAACAGGTAAAGGCCCCAACTGAGCTGTGTAGCTCCTTTTCAGAAGCGACCTGGTTATCACAAATGATAGCTCAACAAAGTTGCTTATCACGTGGACATTTATAGCAGCTAAAATACTCTAAACACGCGTGATGTTGATTCTAAACGTGAAGGGAAAAACCGGAGGCACCTAGAGAAAAATCCACGCGACCAAGGGGAGAGAGACACGCAGACTCCATAAAGCAGGCGTCAGGGTCGGGATCGAACCCGCGACCTCCTGTGGACCAGGTGAAGTAGAATCAACATCACCCATGTTGGTAAAGTATTTGGTTGCTTCTAGATTTGAAGCTTTTGTGACTGCAAGGATTGATATTCTTAGGTTTTTTCGGTAAAGTCACGTAGGTAAAAAATTCAAATTAATAAAAGTAAAATAAAATAAAAAATCACGACGTTTCGGAGGCAACACAAGCTTCCGTCTTCAGGTGGAACCGTCACAGCACGGTAGCTGTATCAAGTGAGAGAAATTCCAAGAAACAGTATTTGTATATATACTGGTTGAGGGTGGGAGGAGCCAAGGTAGGCCCTGAATATTATTTTTGTGAGGTTCGGTGCGGCTGAAGCACGCTGTTAAGAATGAACCTTTATTTGTGTAAACTAGGTGCGGATGATGTAAAGGTGCGTGTAAAAGGGACTGAGACTTTTTGTTATGTAGAGATGATACGGCTGAAATCGCTGCCAGGAAATGAGTCTTTGTTGTGTAGAATGGTTGACTGAGCCTATTGTTATGTAGAGGTGGTGCGGCTGAAATCGCTGCCAGGAATGCTCCAAATATGTGTAGTTAAATATTTTTTGCATGGTTAATAACATCTTTCCAATGATTACTAAGTTTGTACCCATCATCACGGTTGAAATGATGTCTGTGTTTGTATATTTGGATGGCCTCGTGTACAAACCTTTGATGGTAGCCAGAAGGCTTGCAGAGCACCTTAGTCTCGGAAAAGACAATTTAATGAGAGCCCACAGCGTTGTAGCAATGATCGGCAACAACGGAAGAATCAGTTTTGCCGTGTTTCAGATCTGACTTGTGCTCGCGGACACGATCAGAGATATGACGTTTCGTTTCTCCAATGTAGCAATCACCACAACTGCAACTCAGTTTGTAGACTCCAGGGTATTGTAAGTCAGGAATGACATCTTTCACATATGGAATTAGATCACGGATTTTATGTACTGTACTGAATCGGACTTGAATCTTATGTTTGTTTAGAATTTGAGATCTTTTTGGTCATGCCTGCTATTATGGTAACGCAATAGTTTTGATCCCCTTCCGATTGGAACCACGTTGACAACCTGACTTCTGTTTCTGCTGACTCAATGTCAGCCAAATGCAAAGATAACCTGATTTCTAAATTCAACCTCCTATCTAAGAAGAAACCAGAGCCACACATCACAAAGCTGGATGTCAACAAGACCGTTATTAATCAGAGTAACATCCCAATTTCTGACAATCTGAAGACGGTACTAGCCAGAGAACTAAATTTCGCTGTCACCCCTAAATATATACCAGTAGAGGATGTGATTTCTCAGATTGATGTATCCCTCAGAGGCATAGGACACATCCATGCGGATGTAGCAAGAGCTGAAATAGCCACTATTCTTAAGAATGCTAAGAAACCCACTAGTAACATTAGCAAAAACGAACGCTCTGAACTCGCGGACCTAAAAAAGAGAGATGATATTGTCATCCTCTCGGCAGACAAGGGCAATGCCACGGTCATCATGGATAAAGATTCATACAACAACAAAATCCTGGACCTACTTAATAATGGGAGTTACTCCAAAATTAAAAACGATCCTACTAACAGCCTAACGACAAAAACTAACAAAATCATCACGAGTTCGACTTCCCTAATCGAACCAACCAAACGTCCCTCTCTAAAACCATCGGCGGCAAGACCTCCCAGACTCTATGGTCTTCCCAAGATCCATAAAGAAGGCACCCCGCTACGACCCATTGTGTCGACAATCAACTCTCCTACGTACAAACTGGCCCGGTTTCTATCAGATACTCTGCTCCCCTTCACATGCAAGACCTCTTCGGCAGTACTCAATTCAACCCAATTAGTCTCTATGGTCAAGGACATGGTACTATCTCCTGATGATATCCTCGTCAGTTTTGATGTAGTATCTCTGTTTACCAAGGTCCCAGTACCTGACACCCTAACAATAATTGAGGATTTGGTCCAACATGGATTGAATTCGGATGTACCTGCGCTGGTTAGGCATTGCCTCACCAACACTTATTTTACCTACCTTGGCTCCTCCCACCCTCAACCAGTATATGTGGGGGCCGTTGGCCCCCGGGGTCTCCCCCGCCTGCATCCCCTATTCCGTTTGCGTTACCGTACCGCCCTAATACCCGCTCGGGTTTCACCGGCATTCGAACGCGACGCCCCTACTCATACAGCCTCGCGCAGCGCTCCCACGCTGCGAGCGTACGTACACAGCCCCACACGGTGCTCGTCTCAACACTGAATACTCACGTTATGATCGCGCACCTGTATCATACACGTAGTGAACGTACACACACACCCACACACAGCTCCGCGTGGCACCCACTTCCACGTCGAATAACCACGTTACAATTGCGCACCTGTATAACGCTGATCATACACGTGGTGAGCGTAGGCACGCACACCCAGCTCCGCGCACTCCAAACACGACACCTTCTCTTGCGCCGCTCTGCGCAGCGCTCACATGTGGCGAGCAAATGTATACTCAGCACCACACGCGTTCACACTTCTCAGCGAGATCACACGAGGCCACGATCAGCTATTAATGATTTATTATCGGCTGCCTGTGAATTGTTGTTAAATCAGTGTGAATCGACGAGCCTGGCCTACTCTGATACCCCTGGGTCTATTCCCGATTTATCTGCTTACGATACGCTTTTACCTTCTTACTCACGGTTTGAAGCACTCGGCGTTCCGTGGGTTTTCCTCGATGCTCACCTCGACACGTCTCACGGACGTCCGGATGGCCTTGCTGGGAGCTGCCTCGAACGCTGGCTTCTTGGAGTGAGAGACCTCTCTACCTCGCTACGTTCGCTTTTTATCCTATCTCCCCGTCCCAGGGCCCCGCCTCCTGAGCCCTTTTCGCTCCTCCGGCGCTTACGCGCGGCGCGCACTCTAATTAGTCCCATTCTCATGCCCCCATAATAATAGGTGGTTGGCTTGACTGCGCCGGTGCACGGTGCCTTTGTTATGTCAATCAGCCATCTCACTCCTCCTCTGCCTGCCTCGTCGATACGTGTGTGTGTGGGGGGGTGCGTTTCAACCGTGGGGGCTGGGTGGCCCGGGCCGTGACCATGTATTCTCAACTCAGGTTACAGCGCCACGGTGCGAAGTAGCACCGGGGGAGGTCGTCCAATTCTCTGGCCGCCGGAAACCGTGAAGATTATCCCGATAAGGGCTTCTCGGGTTAAAACCGGTCAGCCAGGTGACCTCCCCTCGGAGCTCTATGGGTGGGGGGAATGCGTGCGGGTGTGTTTATGTGAGGTGAGGTGAGGAGGAAGCGGGGTCGGCTCCGTCACTTGGTGGTGGCGAGGTCGGGAATGGGGCGCCCGCCGAGCGGCTTCGTGGCGGCGGCATCACACATATATACAAAGACTGTTTCTTGGAATTTCTCTCACTTGATACAACTATCGTGCTGTGACGGTTCCACCTGAAGACGGAAGCTTGTGTTGCCTCCGAAACGTCGTGATTTTTTATTTTAATTTACTTTTATTAATTTGAAATTTTTACCTACGTGACTTTACCGAAAAAACCTAAGAATATTTGGTTGCTGCTATGAATATCCACGCGACGACGATGATGATGGCGTTGAGCCCACGTGGTTGAGCTTGCTATCATTTGTGATCGGGTCGCTTCTGAAAAAGCTCAGTGGAGCCTTACACCTGGTCAAATACAAAATAGTTTCTCGTTTGGTTTATTCAACACATTGGAAAGATTACGCGTGGTAGGGTGGCACGTGGTGACGGGGTGGGGAGGTGGAGGTGAAAGAGTGGGGGGAGGGGGGCTCTCATAGTGAGTAGTGGGGGGAGGGGGGGCTCTCTTCGTGAGTTGTGGGGGGAGGGGGGCTCTCTTTGTGAGTAGTGGGGGGAGGGGGGGCTCTCTTCGTGAGTTGTGGGGGGAGGGGGCTCTCTTCGTGAGTTGAGGGGGGAGGGGGGCTCTCTTCGTGAGTTGTGGGGGGAGGGGGGCTCTCTTTGTGAGTAGTGGGGGGAGGGGGGCTCTCTTCGTGAGTTGAGGGGGGCTCTCTTCGTGAGTAGTGGGGGGAGGGGGGGCTCTCTGAGTGAGTTGTGGGAGGAGGGGGGCTCTCTTCGTGAGTAGTGGGGGAGGGGGGCTCTCTTCGTGAGTTGTGGGGGGAGGGGGGGGGCTCTCTTCGTGAGTTGTGGGGGGAGGTGGGCTCTCTTCATGAGTAGTGGGGGGAGGGGGGCTCTCTGAGTGAGTTGTGGGGGGAG